TGTGGATATTATGTTTTCAACATTATAAATAATTATTTTACGTATGTACGCTACAGAAGAAGTTAGATAATTAAGAAGCCTCAATACAAATGACCTCAACGAATGTCTGTAAGATGTACAGGTAGATTTTTTTTTTCTTTCTCCCTCTAGAATCAGGTAATCCATTATTTTAACCACTTCCTGTCCGGACACTTTTACCCCCTTCCTGTCCAGGGCAATTTTCAGCTTTCAGCGCTATCACACTTTGAATGACAATTGCGCAGTCATGCAACACTGTACCCATATGAATTTTTTGCCATTTTTTTGAGACAGATAAAGCTTTTTTTTGGTGGTATTTACTCACTGCTGGGATTTTTATTTTTTTTACTATGTAAATGAAAATGTCCAAAAATTTTGAAAAAAAGTGTTTTTTTTTAAATAAAACTTTGCAAATAAATAATATTTCATCATAAATCTTGGCCAAAATTTATTCCGTTATTTTTTTTTAGTAAAAAAAAAAAAATCCAAATTAGTTTATAACCAATAATTATAATTTTTAAACATTTTTTTTTACATTTTTATTTTATTTTTTTATATTATTATTTTTATTTTTTTTTACATACTGTCTCCCTAGCAGTACAGTGTCACCATGGTGACACTGTATTACTTGTGGGGGGTGATGAAGATTTTTTTTTTTTTTTTTTTTACACTGATTGCTTTTACACCCATATAGGATGTAAAAGCAATCATTTCTCTTTCTCTCTGTCTGCATTCTTGCAGTCATTGAGAAGTACTGAGTGAGCTGTGATTGGTCACAGCTTGTCACATGGTACAAGGCTGTTGTGAATAGCCTTGTACCATGTGACCTCTGTGATCATTCACAGATTTCACACGTAGTAAGCAATGATTTCAGAAGTGACATCTTGCTTACTACTTTGCATGTGATCACTGATTGGCCAATCAGTGATCACATGATTGGGACCTCGTACAGAGGTCCCGTCCGACGATCGGTGTTTCACTGTGTCCGGAGAACACAGCGGGCACTGGATCGCGGTGCTGCGCGCTACCAGGGAGCGCGCACAGCTAGGAAAGGCGGGTGCCGCTTATAAACGGCAACCCGCCCCTGGACTGCCACCGCCCTGCCGTTTATAAACAGCAGGCGGACGGCAAGTGGTTAAGTGACACTGGTCCCAGTTTGTCTAACCAGTTCTGTCAATAGAGCTCTACGTCTAAAATGTAATGCATTTTAACAAGCTAAAGGTTCAACTCTTGACATGGTACAGGAGGTTTTAGGAAAAATCCCAAATAATTCCTAATCCTATACTGCCCCTTCAGGTAATCGGGATCATTGAGTGACGTCATAATTAGGCGAGATAAGCTGTGCCTGCCTATATTTTTTGGGTGATAAAAGTTAGGAGAAGGACAAAAGAGGGGGGATAAGAAAGGGAGAACAGGCGGACACACACAGAGACAGAAGTGAGCTGACATCAACAATACCATAGATTCTATATCAGTAAAGTGTAACTTTTAGGGCTCGTTCACACTAGGCTGTTTTGCCAACGCTTGCCAAACGCCCCTATAGCTTTTGGCAAGCGTTGGTCCAGCGTTTGCGGAGCGTTATTAACGCTCGGCAAACGCTCCACAAACGCCGCATGCGCGGTTTAGCGGCGGTTGCTAGGCGTTTGCCGAGCGTTAATAACGCCCCACAAACGCCTATAATGCAGTTTGAGTGGTGTTACCGCTCCGCAAACGCCCCGCAACCGCGTCGCAACCGCACCGCAAACGCCGGCCGGGCGTTTGCGGAGTGGCACCATAGACGAGAATAGGAGGCTTCAAAGCCTCCTGACTCGTCCAGAGGCGTCCGTTTTGCCGCAACGCAACGCAACGCAAACGCTCCCGTTAGAACAGCACCATGTGCTGTAATGTGCAGAATTGGCAGAGGCGTTTGGGAAGCGGTAAAAACGCTTCCCAAACGCCTCTCTGCCGCCTGCACACAAGGCTAGTGTGAACGTAGCCTTACTGTTCCTCAGGCAATGTGCGCTCACCTTATATCTCCAGCTAAACCGTTTAGTCTGATGACGGTTATGGTTAGCACCTGAGTTGAATCGAAATAATTTTAACTGCAGTATAAATTATCTTCATTTTAATTCTCTGGGGGGAGGATTCTCTTTGGAATATCCCCTGATGTCTCGTCTGATCTCCAATGAGCCGAATGCAGTGCAGATTGCACTGTATTAGTTTCTAGAACCCGCCACTGATGTACTACATTTGTCGGTGACATTAAAAGTGTTAAACACTGCATGTTTTTTAGCTGGACACACTGAGCATAATAAAATAATCATTCTCCAGTCATTTATTTGTTAAAATTCTTACCCAAGCACTTGCAGGTTGTACATTTCTGTGTTGCTGTCTCCTGCTTTCTCAGTGCTGTTTCCCTGAACTTCCTGCCTTAACTAGTTAACAGTGGACAGTGCAGTTTCCAGTTAGTCTGTTATCTGGGAGAGGGAAAAGGAGGGGAAGGGGGAGTGCCTGACCATCCTAGGCTATGAACCTGTGTGTTTCTATTGATGCACACAGTGTAGGGAAACAGCTTTATAGTTCCTGCATTCAAGGGTGGCTCCATAGGAAGCTGCAGGAGAAAGGAGCCACCCTGAAACAGGAAACCTGGGGCAGCAGTCATGGCACCAGTTTAATATGGAACAGCTAAATCAGGACATGAGAGAATCCCAGAAGTAGTGTCCCCCCCATTGGCAGATTTCCCTTTTATTCCTGTTCTGGTGACCCAAAATTTGGGATTCTCATGTTGCTCCCTTCTGTCCCTCCACTGCTCAAGAACCAGGACACTTACCTGGCTAGTTGGACTCTGATTGGTCAAGATGGAGATCATGACATCATCTGCCCCGCCTCTCCAACCCCACCTAGTATTCAAGGCCAAAAAGAGAACACGGTTCTTGACACTTACCTGGTGTCCAACTCACAGCTACCAAGGCACAATCCATGGCGATCCCCAAACATACTGCTTGCAAAGGGAAGGTGACAGTAGGCAAGTGATTGGCTCTTGCAGCTGTCTGTCAGGAGCTGGGAGGAGGGTGCAGAGGTGTGGATTGCTGTGTGTCAATGGACGCACACAGCCCTGATCAGGAACGTGCAAGCATGGATGTCTCCTTTAGGAGTGGCTAGCTAAACAAAAGCATAAACATTCAAGGAAGCAGACTGGATGCACCGGGGTGTTCATTTTTTTTATTTGCATAGCATTTCACCCAGTGATAGTGAATCCACATTCATTTTGTGCGAATGGTTCGAGGAAAATAAGTAAAATTATTTCTTAGGTGGAAAATATCACATTTGGCCATTAGATGGCACTAAGTATCACTGGAAATTCCTATGATACTTCCCTGGATCTGGTGGCCAAATGCAGTACTTTTCCATTTCAAATAATGAAAAACATTCTATCGGCACAGGAAATAGCCTAATAACATTCGCTTTGTTTGCCCCATTCGCACAGAATGGATTTACCAACACTAGGCTTTTGTTTTGATATTTTTTTCTGGGGCAAAAAAAAAAAAAAGAAATAATAACTAGAAAAGCTACAATTTCTGGGGAAATTGTGTGAAGTGTTCTTGCCTCCACCAGTAATCTACAACTGGAGTGGGTGGAGTAACTGGGTGGAGTGGCTTGTCACTCTGCTGCCTGCTCACACACCTGGGTTCCTATGGCAACTCACTCTACAGCAAGGGCAGAGAAGAGCGGTTAAAAACAAACTGCTCCAACTTGCTCACTTCACTGGCGGTTGCCATCTTCAAACGGTTGTAGTTTAAAAATGATAAATCCTACAGCGAAGAGCTGTATATTGTGGGAATCACAAGACTCAGACCTACATTTTGATGCATAGTATGTCTCTGAAATATTAAAAATGAAGGCACAGTCGCAGTTTAGAAATTGCCCTTTAAATTTGAGGTGGCTAGAGTGGAGTTTCAATGAATGTCAATGGTCGGTGTGAATTGTAAACAAATGGTCATTTTGTGAAAACTATCAGGACTATGGCTTAGCTGCGGACATTTTTAGTGGCAGCAGGGATAGCTGAACGTTTTGATATAAGATTTGTGTAGGTGGGCTTGAAAATGAGGGAGTGATGGCAGTTTAGAAATCATGTCCTGATTTTTCAGCTCACACTCTAGCTTTTGTCAGCTCCCACTCTAGTTTTGAATATTCCGCCATTCATTCCTATGGGAAAATTTCACCACAAAAACGCCGATATTTTGTGAACCATTCGGCGAAACATTCCACAAAGTAAAAGCACACCAATCAGGAACAATCCGCACATTTCGGTACATTACTGTCTATGTAGTGTAAAAACTGTGGGAGGAGTTAGGGTGGTAAATTTGGCTATAAGAATTTATATGTGAGATAACAGGAAGTGGTCGCCATGCAGGAACACTTAATTAAAGTGTTACTAAACCCACAACAGTAAAATCAGTCTGTATATGCAGTAAAGCATGCTGGTTATACTCACTGTGGATCCTAAAGGGTTAATCCTCTGCACTGTGTAAAAAGGCTGTTTGATACTGTCTTCTCTAATCCTCCCCTTTTTCCACAGTCCCCAAGCCATCTGCTGATAATACAGAGCTCAAGAAGTAACTCTGAACATGCTCAGTTTGGTGTGTATTGCTAGAGAGTTGTTTTTTTTTGGGGGGGGGGCATGTTATCATCACAGGGCAAATCAGCACTGTCCAGGGGGTCAGGGGTTTTGCAGCCTCACAGGACAATCAAAGGAGAATGAAAACTCCTCCTACATAAGTAACCAGGGCTCGGATGGAGATATAGTGAATGCAGGGTCCGGGGAGACCGGATATAGTGAATGCAGGGTCCGGGGGAGACTGGATACATTGAATGCAGGGTGCGGAGAGAGCGGAGGATACAGTGTATGCAGGGTCCGGGGAGACCAGATATAGTGAATGCAGGGTCCGGGGAGAGTGGATATAGTGAATGCAGGGTCCGGGGATACAAAGGGATATAGTGAATGCGGGGCCTGGGAAGACCGGATATAGTGAATGCAGGGTCCGGGGAGACCAGATATAGTGAATGCGGGGTCCGGGGAGACGGATATAGTGAATGCAGGGTCCGGGGAGACCGGATATAGTGAATGCAGGGTCCGGGGGAGACCGGATATAGTAAATGCAGGGTCCGGGGGAGACCAGATATAGTGAATGCAAAGTCCAGGGGAGACCAGATATAGTGAATGCAGGGTCCGGGGAGACCAGATATAGTGAATGCAGGGTCCCGGGAGAGCGGATATAGTGAATGCAGGGTCCGGGGAGACCGGTTATAGTGAATGCAGGGTCCGGGAGACCAGATATAGTGATGCAGGGTCCGGGGAGACCGGATATAGTGATTGCAGGGTCCAGGGAGACCAGATATAGTGAATGCAAAGTCAGGGAGACGTTTATAGTGAATGCAGGGTCCGGGGAGATCGGATATAGTGAATGCCGGGACCGGGAGACCAGATATAGTGAATGCAGGGTCCGGGAGACCAGATATAGTGAATGCAGGGTTCCGGGGAGACGGATATAGTGAATGCAGGGTCCAGGGAGACCAGATATAGTGAATGCAAAGTCCAGGGAGACCGTTATAGTGAATGCAGGGTCCAGGGAGATCGGATATAGTGAATGCAGGGTCCGGGGAGGAGACCAGATATAGTGAATGCATGGTCCGGGGAGACCAGATATTAGTTAATGCAGGGTCCGGGGAGACCAGATATAGTGAATGCAGGGTCCGGGGAGAGCGGATATAGTGAATGTAGGGTCCGGGGTTTAGTAACACTTTAAGCTATTTTCTTGTGTGGAAGATACCACATTTGTCCATTTTATGGCACTAAGAATCATTGGAAATTCCTATGATACGTAGTGCCATCTAGTGGCCAAAACGCAGTACTTTTTCATTTTATAAGCAAATGGAAAAACATTCGACCAGCACAGTAAATAGCCTAATTACATTCACTTTGTTTGCCTCATTTGCACAGAATGAATCTACTAACACTAGGCAAATTGATATGAAATTAAAAATAAAAAATAACCCCCATTGTATATAGCCTGGACTTCTTGCAATGAAATATAAAAAAAAAAATAGGCTTTAGTATGACTTTATCTGCTCCATCCCGTCACAGCTGTATTCTCAGACCTGGTGATTTCCCAATGTTCCCAGGTATGGTGACAGAGATTCAATTGAAGAAATGTTTCCACCCTCCACATTATGATGAGCTCACGGCAGGCAGTAAAGGAGGTGAAGGAATTGGTCTGATCCCTCCCTGGAGCAAGGTCTCAGTCACAACTGTGATCCCAAAGCCGACACCACTGGAAGAAAGAGTAAATGGGCAGATGACTAGGACACGGCTCACAGAAGATAGATGTGGAGTCTTTGTACAGAACCCAGATTTCAGACGAGATAGGCATACTTTTGGAATGGATGGTGCAAGCCGCTCCTGTCCTGGAATGGTTCAGCCTGGAGGACCGGTTTTCCCGGATACGCTAATGATATGAACTTATTTATAATTACAATGTGTCACACCTAAGAGTAATGATTTCATCCCAGTTTCTGATGTCGGAAGGCCTCGTTCACACTTGCGGCCGGGGCAAAGCAGTAAAGATAGGCAGTTGAGCTGTGGTTTCTCCAATTCCGGAGGACCCACCTTAATCTGCAACAGCAGCTGGACCGGGTGGTTCAAATGCCAAGGAGAAAATTATACCCCATGCCATGTTCCGGCAGTACCATCTCCAAATACCCATTCAAGGGAATGGGACTGCATCACAACTGACCTTCAACTGCTTGTGGTTGCAGAGTGCTGGGGCAGGATATTCCGGGTTAAAACAGGCAGCTGTTTAACCACCCACCTTAAAGCCCAACTCCAGGCAAAAAAAAAGCTTTCCCTTGCAGTTGGGCTGTGCCCACACTGCAAGGGTTAACTGCTCATTTCTGTCTAGGGGATTGGAGAATGTAGATATATTTACCTAATCCTCCCAGAAGCTCCTGCCCCCCCAGTCTAGTGGTCTTGTGCAGTGGACTATTCCTGACATCATCACACTCACAGACCTGCTCTGGACATGATAACATCAGGAACAGTCCACCGCTGGATCATGGGGGAGCGATGTTTGCCGCTGGAGCAGAGGATTGGGTTACTATTAGCTTTCTGTTCTCCATTGGACAAAACAATCAGTTAACCCATTCAGTGCAGGCACAGCCCTACTATATGGGTAAACCTTTTTTTTTTTTGCCTGGGGCTTTAAGCTACAACAGCAGTCAATGGCTGTGTAACTCCTGTCATGGCTGCAAAAATTATACCCACTCTCACATTTGGCAGGCAGCACAGCTGCCACATGCGGCCTATTCATGTGAACAAGGCCACATCAAATTACACTTGGTTGTAGTGTGGTATTGTGGGCTTTTCAGGGTTCAAACAGGTGGGGAGGCAACATATCACCTCCTAGCTGCCTGTCAAACTACCCTCTGAAAAGCGATCTACCACAAATAGTTAGTATGAATGAGCCTGTGATGGGAGTCACTTTGGGTGGGGGGCCCATGGAGCACAGCTCACTTTAGAGAGGTGGGGAGACCCCTGTCTCAGCTCCCCATATCCCTCTTATGTGTAGGTCACCCTGTGTCTCTTAGGGGCACAGGGTGACTAATGGACGCTGAGAATGCGGTTGGAATTACTTCAGATGTGACAGTAATATTTATCAGCTATATGAAGACTATCCCTGGTTGTTGATTCTGAACTAGACATGTGAATTGAAGGAGCCGGACCTTCTGCTCTTTAGTGAGATCCTAATTCATCCAACCATTGTCTAGGTGTGAATTCCCATTCACCTTTTGTTTGGATCACCCAGCTAGCTAACCTAATTAACTTACTGTTTATAGTGTGAAGTCTATTTCTGTATATAGCTGCGTTTGCATACGATCATGTGATCAGTCTCAGTGTGTATTGTATAAAAAGCCTGTTTGAGTTTAAAATAAAGAGTTCCATGTTTATACAGACTGGTCTTGTCTAGTCGTGTTTGGTCAGCGGTGGTGTCAGTGGATCTGTGTTCGGACAGGGAAGCGGAAGTCTAATGGAAATACCGTAGTGCAGTCGGGGTCCGGTTCCGTTACAGAGCCCAAGTGGCATCTGATATGCAGGATAAAGCTGGCCGTACACAAAACAATTCTGTGCAAAAATTACTATTTTCAGAACATTTATTGGTGATCATCAGAACACCCCCATCTTGATCCTGTGAAGATGAGGAAGAAACTTTAGGGGACGAAAGGCATAGGTGTACTGATCCCATCTATCAGATCATCCTCTGATTCCACTAGGAGGATCTCTGTACCTGAAGACAAACCTGTCCAGTTTGTTGTTGAACCTGGAAGCCAGGAAGTCCACATCCAGTGCTCCCCACCTGCAAAACAGGTCCTGGGTGTAGGAACCACTCTCCTGGATCCAGGCACACTCATGTGGGGATGGCTACCTGCCAATTGTCTATGCCTGGGTTGCCTGGGAAGGGATCGAATCTACCACTATTGCTGTTATGAGACTTTTGCTTCCATACCAATGGTTGATCTAAGCCACTTCTGTGGGGGTGTTTCTTGAACCTGGATCAGGTGACATCTCAGGAACATGGTCCAATGCTGCAGAAACAACATTCCATACAGAATATCATTTCCAAACTAATTAAATATTTATGTATTTGTATAATGTAATGATAATACATTTAAGGCAATATATAAATAATGAACATGTAAAATCAATACAAATGGAACAAATAAAATAATGTCTACATAGCATGAAATTCATACGATCAAAGAGAAAAGGAAAAATGTGCAGCCATTAAGAAAATATAACCAGCAGCAATTATATATAATTCATTTGTAAATAAACTTCTAAATCGAAATAAAAATAAATGCATGGATGATGAATGAAATGTTTTTGCACAAAGGAAACACTTGCTGTCACCAGAAAGCAGATATATATTGTGGTGCCATTGAAACGAAATGAAAGTAGAGCAACAAACTGGTTCGGGGATGTTTTCTATTCCATAACACTTCCCAATGACCTGTGGTCCTGTCTATGGCTCAACCCTTTGCAAGCTGAGAGGGCCAGCCCACCTGTTTTTATAAAGGACACAAACACGAGGTCTTATAATAAATATTTTATTTTCTTATTGTAAGACGATAATACCAATTTGTATCAATATATGAATCTCTGTAACATTATTGACGTTTATTTCAGGTACTTATAGTGCTGTCAATTTACGCAGCGCTTTACATATATATTGTACATTCACATCAGTCCCTAACCCTCAAGGGGTGTACAATCTAAGGTCCATAACTCACATTCATACATACACATACTAGGGACAATTTAGACAGGATCCAATTCACCTACCAGCATGTCTTTGGAGTGTGGGAGGAAACCCGCGCAGGCACAGGGAGAACATGCAAACTCCAGGCAGGTGGTGCTGTGGTTGGGATTCAAACCAACGACCCTAGTACTGCCAGGCTGAAGTGCTAACCATTTAGCCACTGTGCTGCCCTGCTTTAGTACAGGTACTAACAGTATATAATTGCTGTCAATTTATGCAGCTTTACATTATATATAATACACACACACATATATACACACATATATATATATATATATATATATATATACACACACATTATATATATATACACACATATACACACACACAACATTATATATATACACACACACACACATATATACACACATATATATATATATAATATATATATATATATATATACACACACACATTATATATATACACACATATACACACACACACACATTATATATATACACACACACACATTATATATATATATATATATATACACACACATTATATATATATATATATATATATTATATAATATATATATATATATGAAAACACTCCTATCATCCTTTGACCAATACGAAAAAAAGCACCGATGCAGGTGCCAAAAATAACCCCGCCCCTCGCTGCCCGCCACTGCCTCCACCCGCCCCTACTTGCCACCCCTGGTGGTTTCTCAGCCTTACCTGAGAATCCATCAAATGATCCTGGCGCTGGGCAGAGAGATCAGTGAAGGAAAGATGGCCTCCACTCATCTCTATGCTCTTGGAGGACCGGAGCGACGTCCCTTCCGGTTCTGGTGCCTTGTAAAAAAGGCCTTTTTTTTTTAAAGCACTGGATCAATGCTTTTTTTTGATCGAATGCTTTACATTGTAGAGGAGAGATGTGGGGTCTTATTGATCCCATATCTCTCCATAAAGAGGATCTGTCACTGCTTATTTCTATCACAAGGGATGCATGTGTTCCTTGTGATAGGAATAAAAGTGATTAAAAATTTTTTTTTTAACGGGACAGTGTAAAAAAAAAAAAATTAAATGAATTAAAAAAAAAAGTTTAAAGTGCCCCCGTCCCCCCGTGCTCACGCGTAGTGGTGAATGCATACGTAGGCCACACCCACATATGTAAACAGTGTTCAAACCACATGTGAGGTATCGCCACGAACATCGGAGCAAGAGCAATAATTCTAGTGCTAGACCTCCTCTGTAATTTTAAACTGGTAACCTGTAGAGATTTTTAAAGCGTCACCCATGGAGATTTTTAAGTACTGTAGTTTGACGCCATTCCACGAGCGTGGTTTTTTAAAGCATGACATACTGGATATCTATTTACTCAGCGTAACATCATCTTTCATATTTTACAAAAAAATTGGGGTATATAAATTGTGTATTTTCTTTTAAATCATTACAGTGTATTTT